AAAAAAAAAAAAAAAAAAAAAAGGAAAGAAAAAAAAAGAAAAGGAAAAAAAAAGAAAAAAATGGGAAAAAAAAAGAACAACAAAAAATTTTTTCTTCTATGAGAACTTTTATTTGCTTCCTGTGTATGAGATGAGTTTTGTCTGCTCTCTGCCAGCCAAAAGGTTTGCTTCTTTGAGCACTGGGATAATAGTAGATCCAACAGCATGCTACTATTAATTACAGCAGGATAACAAAAAACATACAAACAAAAATAAAGCACCAACCTGCATTAAATAATGTTACTTATAGAAAGAAAGTAATACTGTGATTTTAAACCAAATATATTATTAATCAGAGGTCAGCTTGTAATCACTAGGAGCTGCCATTTCATTATTTTCCAGATATTAATTGCTCTAGTTATCCCTTAGAAAATGGGTTTAAGTTAACTGAGGCTTTGAACCCAATACTCTATTTAAAAAGAAAAAAAAAAAAAAAGAAAAAAAAAAAGAAAAAAATTTATATAATAGCAGATATCTGTAACCAAGCAAGGAAGAGCTCTAGCTGGAAAACAAATGCCACTAATAAAAGTGCAATCAGTTTTCACCTCTAGTTTTTAATGTTGCTTTCTAATACACAATTTATTCTTTTGTTCCCCCTCAGTTTTTCTTCCCTTTTTTTCTCCTTCTCAGAAAGAACCCTGACAAGCTTCTAGCAATACATTGTTAGAGCTGCTGTTGGAGTAAGGATTACTCTTGGACACAGAAATGCTTTCCAGGGAAGAACCTGATTTGCTGAATGGTTAAAAAGCATAGGCACATAGGAAGGACAAAGCAGATGTATGGAGTTTATTTCTACTTGCCTTTATTTACTCCATTACTTGGGTAGAGAGAGGCACGGGTGATGCTAAGGCCAGTTATGAAGGCAAGCACACCATGTGGGTTACAGCCATAGTTACACATGTGTGGGTGTTTGATATCGGTGTTCAGCCAGTGACACTCTTGAAGTCTTTGACTAGTAATGAACAAAGATGCTGTCAGTGCTGGAGCAGTTGCATCCATCCAGACAGAAGCAAATGGCCTCTTTTGCACTGAATTCCTATCAGTTTAGTCAGGGTCACTCTGCCTCTTCTATTCTTTTGATATTTTGTTGTGTGTTCAGTTGGCACAGCATTGACTCAGGACTGATGTGGAAAACAAATGCTTTTCCTAGACTCTGGGGATTCTGAAAATGAGAACATATGTTTTACAGGTATTACTGAGCTCAAAATAAGAGCCATGTCAAGAAAAAAAGAATTTCAGCCAAACTACACTCATCCTTTGGGCCACATTCTGGTCCCAGTTAAATGAAGACAAGTACGTCAAAGAAATTTTGTGAGATGCAAACCTGAGGAACTAAAGTCCCGACTCAGTAAATTGTTCAAGCATATGCTTATGCTAATCCCAGCAGAAGTTACCTTGAGCATGTGCTAGACTCCCGTTTACACAACCAGCACATGCACAAAGTTAAGCGTGTGCTTAAGGGTTTTGATGAACAAAGCATGTCCTACTGATTTGAGACCTGAAAGCAAAGTATAGTAAAAGAAGCTCTTTGCCAGGATGACAAAAATCAGTGAGTAGCTCACTGTATAAATAACTGCATCATATTACTAAGAACATGGGTGAGTCTACAGGAACACCAGATTCAGCAGAAAAAGAATAAAAAAAACCCCTTGGTATAGGAAGAAGATGATAAAGTTGTAGGATGTTGGTATGCTAGGAAACTAGCACAGCTTTGGGCTACGTGGTGGCTGAAATGGCTCTGCTTATTTGAGAAGTCTATGGGAGATGGCAAATACATAGTCTGGACTTAAGTCCCCTTTGCCATGTTTCCCTAGCTGGCATGTACTTGAACACACTTTGCCTTTGCAGACTGAAACAAAAGCTCCCCTACAAATTCTAGACAGCATACTCTCATTTTCATCCCTTTAGTCATGCCTATTTATCTGCAATCCCATGCAGCAGAACACCCACCTCCCCAGTAATTTTTCAACTCAGTATTTCAGAGGGCCAAGTGGGCTTTCCTGATGAAGGCCACAAGTTTCCAAAGGATTTGCACCGTTGAGTTTCCAGAGGCATTTGAAAATCTGTCCTTTCAGGAAGGCCTCTGATACTGCAAAGACCTTTCAGGACAGATGAGAGAGAAAAAGTATGGCAGAGAAACAAGAGATTTCCCCAAAAATTTCCCACCTTAGTGGCAGAATAGAGAAGTGTAACACAGGTCTTTTGTAAACTTCTTCAGTACAGATCACCCACAAGGCCAGCTCTCACTGAATTGTCTGTTAATAGTTCAGACAGATTAATCAGGATGGAAAGGGAACATGCCTTGAAGTGGAGTAGATTATCTGACTACTAACACTGTTATTATAGTGGGCCAGTACAAAATGAAGGAGCAATTCCCTATTTGGGAGCTGTGCCTGTGAGATTTATTTGGTGCAGGTCTAGGGAAAAATGTCACACCTCTTCTGCTGCAGTGCCTCAAAGTCAAAGCGGTGTGCAGCTCCCACTCTTCCTCCCTCCTGGGACACACACAGTGTGTTATAGGGTAAGCATGAAATTAGGCTGGAGGCTTCACATGGACCTAAGAACAAGAAAATACAATTGGGGATATGGCTGCCTAAGCCCTTAGGTCTTTGTGGAGAACCCAGCCTTACAGCACAATTCATGCAGCAGCAAGTTACGGGGAATCGCCCTTGCTTGGCACTCACAGAACTTGGAGAAGGACGCAGCCCCCCCACCTCTCAACTCGTGTTCTAACTCTGAGAGGGTGTTTCACATCAGTCAAGTCCACACTCAGAAGTTAGCAAGTCTACCTGGCCACAGATGCTGCTGGCAGGCTGCAGCCGTCTCCTGCTGGCCAAGGGGCTGGAGGCTGCAGCAGCACGGAGCAGAGCCAGCAAGTGCCTACAGGAAAGGCCAGCTCCCCTGCTGGGGATATTTGCTTCGTTACCCAGACCTCTGAGCTAGCTAGGCAGTCCCAACACCCTTGAGCCATCACTGTGTAACCCTTGCCAGCTTTTCTGGCTGAAGGTCATGGCAAGAAGAAACCATTCTTTGAAGAGGGGCAAAATATTCCAGTGGTGGCAGAGTTGTTGAGATTGTCCTGATTTATTTCCATGTTATTTAATTTTGGCCGTGAGTTTTCCCTCTGTATGTGTTTATATGCAGGACTTATTCCAGGATAAAAGGCTTCTTTAAGGGGTGTATAGCTGGCATATGTTGTGCACAACCTGGGTATGACCTGCCTGTTCAGGGGGTGTAAATCATTACAGCTCCACAGAGGTTCTCATGTAAGAGAGAAAATCCTACTTCCTCTTCTTGACTCAGTTATTCTCTTCCTCACTTGAGCCACCCCAACACTCCCAGGTTTTAAGAGATCAATCACTGCCTTTATCAGGGAAACAGGAAAGCTCCTTCTTTCCAGTCCACCAAAACAACAATGCTGCATCTCCCTGCTTCTCTCACACACATTGCAAGCAGTTTCCTGAGCATCCAGGATAGCAAACTTGTGTCTCCTCAAAGGACACACTTCTCAGCCTGTTGAGCACTTCTTGGCCCTGCAGTGTGGCTACTTACCATCAGCTGGGACTTACTGCTAGTAAGAAACAAAAAAAAAGCACCTACGAAATGCTGCAGAGAAGGGCAGACAAAGAACATGGCCAATTACCATCATTTGTAATTCTCTATTCTACTGTAAATACATCTTGTACATACATGGATGTTTTCATTATTTACTGTCTTTATGAATTATATGTTAAATGAGAAGCTCTTAGTTTATTGTGTAACACTGTAAATAACATAACGTCCTTTATTATTTATGCATAGGCATCTAACACGCAGAGAAAGTTATCCTCATATTATTTTAAGATATATGTCAAAAATATGTTGCATTTTTCCTTTTGCTTTGAAAAAATTGTAATATATCCTCTTTTTCCCCTCTTTTCCTTTAAAAAAAAAAAAGAATGCTAATTTATTGTTCAGGAGAGAAAGGGGATGTAACTGAAAGGCAAACTGTTCAAAGAACATGCTATGGAAGCCACAAGCTACTGATAAACTAAAGAATTTATTACCCCAAATACAGCAATAAGTAATTGTTGATTTATTAAGGTTTTGTTATTCATTTTCAGTAAAAGAGGTGCTGGATTAAATTGTTATGTGTGGTCCTGGCCCAGCTGCTTAGCAGACTGTGTCAGGTCAGTAGCTACCATCTTTGTGTATCCAAACATCGTTGTAAAGGTCTTGTTCTGTTGTTGTGGGCCACTGTTCTTGAGATTTCTGACTCATCCCTGCGGAGGTCTCTGGCAGACACTCTTGATCCTATGTACAGTATTTTTAGTTTCTGAACTTAGAATGATTAGCTCTACCCTGAGCATTACTACTTAAGGTGGATGTGGTTTTGGGGGGTGGTGGGGGGACTTGCAGAAACGACACAGTCTTGGGACTGTGGAAGCCTGCTCTGCAAAAATGTCACCTCACTGTTCAGCAACAGTCAATAAAGCAAATCAGATGCCGGGAATTATTAGATAGCACCACCATGCCACCATCCAAATTGTGCAGGTCTTAAGTACAATACGTGGTCTTGCCCTTCTTGTCTCAGAATAGAAAAGAGTATAATAGGCAAGGGTTTGGAGGGCAACCCAGGTAAACAGATATCAGGAGTTACTGGGGTCTGGGGAGCACAGGGTAGGCTGGATCTCATTAGTCTGGAAGAAAGGATAGCTGGGGGAAGAGATCACAAAAGTCTGTGGGAACATGATTATCTTGTAGAAGGTAGGGAAGGACTGGATTTTTAGTACCTCTTCCAATAAAAGAATGGAGTTATCAATCAAAACTACTGGGCACCAAATTCATAAAGATGTGACTCTTCATGTAAGGTGTAGGGAACTGGGAGAACTACTTGCTGCAAG